GAAATTGTAACAAATACATCGCATACCCGATGCGTATTCATGATACATATAGTACACATTTTGTTCACAGAGATTGATCCACAGATTTTAACCCAAATGCAACAGGTGGAATGCTGAATCAGCAAACTGTCTCACGGAGAGTGTACCTTGTCTGAGCTGGTGACGGATGTCATCCAGTCGTGGCTCCAAGTCCCTGTATTTCTTCTTCTTGGACGGACGCTTCTGGCCAGCAGCGTACTGGACCAGCTTGTTGTTGTTGGTTCTTGGCCCATCTGAGCTGTGGTGGTTTCACTGCGATATGTTCACCTAGTGCGACGAGTTCACCTTATCAAAACATCTAGAGTAGATTATCCGCAACCATAATTCCGCCTAATCAGAACCTAACCTTCAGAGGAAACCGCAGGTCGGCGTCCTGAGACTAGTGGAAAATCGAAAGGTCGGCGTCCTGAGACGACACCATTTCGCCTAAGGAGTAAACTTCTATCAAAATAATTGTATGGATGAGTGCACATAACAGTCTAACAATCACAGTCATCCCTTTAGGATAATGAACACTTCCAACAAGACAACATTAACAATGAAGATACTTTGATTTATTTGAGCATTTTATACATATAGCAGCAATAGACAACACTGTATACTTTGATATATACTAGCTTTTCTTTTTTTAAAGCATCATTTATTAGCAATAAAGTTCCACGATTTTACATTCCCTGTACAGTGTCACGTGGATGGACATACCAGGGTGTTGGGGTTAAAAATATACAAGCTGTTCTGGAAACGATGATGCCATCATGAGGGTATCTCCGGCGATATCTGCCATAAACAAGTGCCCACCTGAGAAAAACAAGATACATAAAAACGATAAATTGGAGTCGCTTTTGTCAGTGATGCGTCAAATCTGGAACTGTTCACATGTCATCCGGAGAATATAGTGAAGCTTCTCTGATGTTGATCGGATCCTGCGTATTCCCTATTAAAGCATCACTTTGTGTTTGTGGCGAATTTCGGATAGCTCGAAGTATTAACGTAGGTCCCTTTGACTTCGACACAGTGTTTCAGTGTAGTTTAAAAATGTGCATTATTTGTGGGCTGGTTGACTTGGCTCATTGTGTAAGTCCTGTGTCATAGTTTACTACACCCGCTCTAACATGTCTCTTTTTTCATTTTTACAGAAACAGTGAGTTGTACAGAAACAAAGAAGGAAGAAAGAAAAAGGTCTTGGAAACCTTGGAAACGGAAGACAAACCAGCATTTGAAGCAGCAGAAGAAATGGACCCTGTAAGATTCATGTATATATTAGTTCTTCATTTAGCTTGACGCGTGTGTGGAGAGTGCTGGTTGTCTAGGTTATGGGAATATTGGGGACAGTGTATTGTACATTAGGCTGTACATTAGCGGGCGCTCTGTCGATCATGGAAGTATGCTAGTCAAGGAATTCCTGTAGAGCAAGATCTGAAGGATTGTAATATAAATGGAATATCAGAATATGGTTTGGTTTACGTTTCGTTTACCTTAGCATCGTGATATTGTCCACGATCGTAGAATGATCATGAAAGTAACTTTCCAACATTTCCACATGTGCATATAAGCGATTCTCGTTTAAGTGAGTGAGTGAGTTTAGGTTTACGCCGCACTCAGCAATATTCCAGCTATATGGCGACGGTATGTAAATAATCCAGTCTGGACCAGTGATCAACAGCATGAGCATCGACCTGCGCAATTTAAGATTTGCCATGGGTAATGCGTCGCCACGTATAAACATTTGAAGGGATGTTCGGTATTGATTTAAGGGAAATCACTATAAAAATAATATCCGAATAAACGTTTAGGGCCCTAATGCGGAATTAATCTCGTTTGTTTTTTGGCCCATGTGCATAATTCTGCGTTGGCCTTTATACGTGAGGTCCAGGTATAGCGTGACACTGCTTTTGTTGAGAAAACTATCCTTGGCGTCACCGACCTCTCGTTGTCATAATTGTCATCATTTAATACGTCATCATTTAATACGTCATCATTAGGTTACCTGTAATGGCTACAATGCTTATGCATTTTCATTCTTCAAATATCACGTAGTAATAGTACGGAATAACATACTTTGAATTGGAGATTATGTAACCCTCAAAACCGAATGATGAAAGGCTTGGAATGTAATTCATTGACGCTGGACTTGAAATCCGTAATTCCTCGTTGCCTATTCTCGGACTCCTAGCTGGGTAGATATAACAATATTCCACTTAACGACAGAAAATGTTTTTATTGTAAACACTGTGTTGAAGACGAAGTTCATGTTTTAATTAATTGTCCGGTTTATAGTGATGAACGTTTTAGTCTTTTAAATACTTGTGATAGCCTGTCAGAATTTTAGTAATCTTACTGATATACTAAAAACTGCTTTTATCCTGTCCAATAGCAATATCTGTTTTATAGCTGCCAAAACCTGCCATGTTATTTTAAAAAGGAGAAAATCCGTATTATATAACTTTTAATTATTGTTATTCATAATACATGTACATGCAATTTTTCAAGAATTTTAGTCTCTCATAATTCCGTATGGAATGGCCCTTATGTAAATATATGTTTAATTAGTTTGTATATATGTATAACAGGGGTGAGACTTTAATAAATAATCTGTCTGTCTGTCTGTCTGTCCTACTGAGGAAACCATGATCTCTGTTATTGGCAGGTTGACGCTAGTCGGGGCAGTGCCAGTTCGGGTGAAGAGACACATGCCGTCACACAACAGAAACTCAGCAAAGAAGCACGCCTGCAATCACTACAGCGCTGGGATGAAGCCTTGTCGCATTCTCAACAATGCACAGATCAGCCCTGCACTCAGAATCGTTGTAGTAGGATGAAGCGTATCATAAGACATTTACATTCGTGTAAAAACGGGCGAGGTTGTACGATCTGTAAAAAGACTTTGATATTGTGTTCCTTCCATGCAAAGCAATGTAAAGAAACACGCTTCTGTACAGTGCCCTTTTGTGAGGACCTGAAACTGGATTTGCGGCTGAGGAATAGGGTATTACCGTTACTGCGACAGAGGGGTAGACCGCCTGCAGCATAGCGTGGGACAGACAGTCTTCAACGGAACTGTCACATGATCGGTAACGCTGTGATATGATAAATGGTGAATCCTGGTGTGAGGAGACAGCTGTCCGAAATTCATCGATCCATCAGCAAAACTCGACAAACATACATTTATGGGGCCAGGTAGATTTAGTGTCAACTGGAAATTGTTAAGACCGTATATTTCTTTTTAAAAACGGATATATACATGTTGATAGAATTTATTCATTCTGACGTTCTGTTTGACATTATTCTATTCAACAATAAACCATTGAAAATGAACACCACCCGCCTGTGATGTTTCTTCTGCTAACGTGTGTGTCCTGTAATGTCGGAATCAAGCAATGTGTTTTTGTAGTCGATATCACTGTCAGCCTGTTCACAAACAGTACATGAAATCAAGCTGTCACTGTTGTTAGTTTGACTCTGAGTCACATAGGAAGTTGATTTGATTTACTCTTATTGTTGGTTTGTTGTTTAACACCGGACTCAGCAATATTCCAAATATATGGCGGCCTGTAAATTATCGAGTCTGGATCAGACAGCCCATTGGTCAACAGCATGAGCATCGTTCTACGCAATTGGGATACGATGACATGTGTCAGCCAGGCAAGTCACCGAGTCGGACGTCGACCACCCGATCCCTTGCTGAAGACCAATTATGACCCTGATCATCTGGGGTCTACTGATAACGAAAGTGACATTGACACTGGCTTCAGGAATCCCTAAGCTGGTCTTGTTTTAAAACCTTTCAGTGGTATGACATTTATTCATTCCGAACCAAGAGGAGTGAGTGAGTGAGTGAAAGAGTGAGAGAGAGAGAGAATGAGTGAGAGAGAGAGAGAGAGAGAGAGAGAGGGAGAGAGAGAGAGAGAGAGAGAGAGAGAGAGAGAGAGAGAGAGAGAGAGAGGGAGGAGGAGAGGTTTTAGCAATATTCCAGCAATATCATTCATGGCGGGGGACACCAGAAATGGAATTCACACATTGTACCCATGTGTGGAATCGAACCCGGGTCTTGAGCGTGACGAGCGGAAGGTTTTACCACTAGGCCACCCCACCGCCCCTGCGAACCAAGAGCAACTCCCACTCCACACACCAATCCACAAAGTTAACAAATATGTCCCCTCTGGGAACCTGTTTCAATTTATGACGCCTTATAATGTTGCGAAATATTTCCTTGAATTTCTGAAGGAGAGACAGATATTTCTTTGTGTTTCTGACAGACAGACATATTGTATTTACATCTCATCGCTGTACATCGTAAACCAACAAATGTATATATTTAGTTGTGAGAGATGGTACAAGGCATAAATAAGCAATGAAACAAATCTGTCCCCTCTAGGAACTTGTTGCTAAATATTTCCTTGAATTTCTGGGGCCATTCGGTACACACACACAATTCAGTTGTAACGGTAATACCGTATCAGCATATTCTGTGGTCTAGAAATATGACCCTATATCGGCCACGAACGACTTTATGTCATTCTGTTGCGTCATTCCTGATTACAAATTCCCAAGGAGTCACCTATAAATTATACCCCGTGTAAACCTCGGCAGGTAAATAACTGCAGCTCGTGGTGATAGGTACCAAGCAACGGTGTTACAATAACAATGATTTATAACACCCCTGTCTAGTTCAGCGTAAGGCCGCCTTCTTGGTGTTATTTTACGTTGAATCTACTCCACTAATGCCTGTCTATGTTCAGCTGGGTACCTGGGTAGTCTAGGATCAGGGAACATAGCCGTGGCGTCCACATGATCACTCAACACTGTCCTTGTCATCGATTTCAGAAAAAATGGATTACGTCCTTCGAGTGTATTTGTTTTGACAAGAATACTGCTATTGATTAACTGTTAGATATATGTCAAACAGTAAGCCTGACACTTACCGAACCGATATAACGCATACACATTAAACCCAGGTATAGATTCAGCCTGGTCGCCCAGGCGTGTCTCCTGAGTAGGTCAATGCAACAGGTGTCACAAACATAAGGATTAACTTGACACGCTTGTACATCTGATGGTGGATGATCAGTTCACGACAATGTAGACATGGGAGTAACGCCCGTAAGTATGCATTGGAATGCTTGTTTAGACATTCATAGTGTATACATAACACATTTCCCTGCAGTTAAAAAATGTATTCAATGAAAAGTGGTAACTAAACTTTGGGAACAAACCGGTTTGACATGCTGAGCGTTCGGAAACAAACATATGTCTGAATAAATCTGTAGTGTATGCGTCAGCTGGGTACATAAACGCGTGGTTGTACTGTTGACACCAATATTTTGACAGGACATTTAACCATCATACAGGTGAAGCGAGGCGAGTACGTAATGCTCGGGACACGGCACTAGAGTTATCCACCTTCCATACCCGCCACTAGGGGGCCATGGGCTCCAGACTCCGGTCCTGTCTGGCATCGTGCGCAGCGTTCAGGCCTGCCTGTATCAGCAAGGGAGGACCAGGTAAGTGGAATATGACAGGACCGCCCGCCGGTCGGAATAACTGGTTATCGTTTTCCCCGAAATCTTCGTTAAAGAGAGTAACAGATACCAACTACGAGTTATTCATGCGCATACTTCCTGGTGGCAACAATAATGCAATATCGCTATGAATAGACGAGACTCGCTATTCCGTTGTGAAAGGCTGGGTTGTTGGATGTTTCCGGGTTATAGAACGGCCCTGACTGTTGCTGATAGGACCTTTGTGTAACAAGAGATTGATTGGGGTAGAGCCAGTCAGTCGAACCATGGTTATATATACACGGATAGATTTTCATACTCCTATGAAATGAATTATCTGTGTGAAGTATTACGTAGATAATTTCCCTATCGATGAAACAAGATTTTGTCATGATAATGAAAAATGCCTCCAGTTGGGTGTTTTCTAAGGGTCTGACGTCATCGATAACCTGATCACCTGTGCCCACTTTATTAGCCTACGGGGATATGTATGTTATACTGAGCAGATAGGTAATGCCCAACAGGTTTAATCAAACAAAACATTACAGGGGCGGATACAGCTTTTTGAGGTGGGATGGGGGTGGGGTTGCATACTTTCATTTTCACCCGTTTACACGAGAGCTTCAATGGTCGTTTAACAGATTTTCAGGACAGGTAGGTGTGCGTGCGTGCGTGCGTGCGTGCGTGCGTGCGTGTGTGTGTGTGTGTGTAACGTAGATTATCCCTGGTTCAACCAAAGGTGACCATTATCGTGGAATGTACCTGTTACATGTCTGGGTGACATTGTGTTACAGATGCGGAGAAAGCTGCCGCAGATGAACCCGTGGAGGTCACAGCAACACTGAACGATGGGGAGGCTGATACAGTAAGATACTGACAAGCATGTTTGTAAAATCGTAATCAACTTTGCTTTTGTAATTTATCTGGACACCCCGCTGAAAACACGTTATTACAGTTATGTAGAGTATACCTGCTTCTACATCGGATGCGGTGACGCCAGTTGTCAGATCCTCAATAGATTGGATTCCAGGCCATATTCGCCTTGATGTAACTGTTATCAGGTCCAACGGGGCTATGAGACCATTTTTTGAAATGGAAAAAATACACAAACCAATTTAACTTTAAAAGCTGGGTGTGATGAAATACTGCTGAACTGCTGTTCTTTACAGGAAAGGAAAACCAAGTTCTATGGATAGTTAATTCTTCATTGCAATGAATGCGAACTTTCTGTGTAGATTCTAACACCGTTTTCACGCAAGTGATACAAAGAGATGAACCAAGGTGTTAGTATCGTCACCGAAACGTCGCATTCATTGCAATAAAGTAGTTGACTATCCTTAGAAATTGGTTTTCCTTCATCTTTACAACTTCTAAAATGCCTCTCAAAGAAGTTATCTTTACAGAGAACATGTCCACTGACTGCTATCAGTTGCCTGTACCTATATAGACATAGACATACCAGCAGCACAGGCCCTCGTGTCTTTGCGAAGATTAAAGTTTGATTTTTTATTTTATTTTGAGATGACCCCCCGCCTCGAAATGCTACACAGTACAATACATTATGACAAGGCCGGACGGTGTCTTACCGAAACGTCGACCCCTAGGGTTGAGGGTAAAACTCCTTTGATGTGATATGTTTGTTTTAGCGTTGTTGTTTCAAGGGATTAAAGTCTGGGTGTCACCCAAAGTTGAACTCAGGTGCGAAAAGTGATCACCAATTTAAGTATGAAATCTGTCCACCGGCCGGACATCCAGTTGTGTCAAGTTTTAATTGATTGCATGCGATGGTAGCGTAGCGATCGGCAAAGCAGGCGGGTAGGATACACCGAAGTATCCGGCATTGTCATAATGTATTGTACTGTGTAGCATTTCGAGTCGGGGGTAATCTAAAAACAAATAATGTTTTTAATCTTTAATCTTCGAAAAGACGAGGGCCTGTGGCCAGCAGGGCTGCTGGGCTCCAGATAAGGGCCGTATCGGCGTATGCACGAATGAAATATGCACGATACGGTAGGAAATAATTTAGAAAACGTAGCAGATACGCACCACAGCAATGGTGTATGGTCTTAGAATCATTTACAGACGTATTTATCTGAAAAAAGTATTGTTATATCGTTCACTGACATGTTTACACAAGAGTATCAATGCTGTGGTGCATATGACACGAAACACAAGAGTACTGGTACTCCATTAATTTCAATTCAGTACTCTTTATGTACACTTAAGGTTTTCCAGTACTCCTATAGTGAAAAAATAAGGAGTACGTACTCCTAAAGTCGAAATCTTATCTGAAACCCTGCGGGCTGCAGAGTTTCACCGTACGGTGTGTAGACAGGTGCTTTCTGTTGGCAGGTTGACGGTAAGACCAGCCCGGGAGATGCGGAACAGGACGCTGGTGACAAACCTGCACCTCCAAAGAAAACACGCAGACAGGAAATAGAGGGCTATGTGCAGTCGTTAGTACATGCTGTCAAGTGTAAGGACCCATCATGCACTGTAACGGACTGTCACAGGATACGGGAAGGTGTGAGGCACATGCAAACCTGCACCAAGAAGATGAACGGAGGATGCACGACCTGTAAACAGCTGATTGCGCTCTGCTGCCACCATGCAAAGAGCTGTCGTAGTGACGATTGTCAGCTTCAGTTCTGTGTACAGCTGAAAAACAATTCACGGAAAACGTGAATACAGGAGACTATGGGGAAAAACGTGAATACAGGAAACTATGGGGAAAACGTGAATACAAGAAACTATGGGGAAAAACGTGAATACAGGAGACTATGGGGAAAACGTGAATACAGAAGAGGGGGAAAACGTGAATACAAGAAACTATGGGGAAAAACGTGAATACAGGAGACTATGGGGAAAACGTGAATACAGGAGACTATGGGGAAAACGTGAATACAGGAAACTATGGGGAAAACGTGAATACAGGAGACTATGGGGAAAACGTGAATACAAGAGACTATGTACCTTTGCAACATCAGAAGTTGGAGACAACATCGGAGGGATATGTTCCATGTTCATATCTCACCATGATCCTTGAGAAACGTTTAAAGAATATCAACGAAATGTTAAATAGCTGTGGTTCAATCCGTTTCTTTGTTAGAGCTTTTGCTGTGCCAAGTGGGATATCTGTTTTGCTAAAACATTGCCAAAAGTACCCTGAAGACATATAATATATTTAAATAATGATGAGTCCCTAACACACTTCATATATTGTCTTCAATGTTTGCTCCCTACGACCTGGAAGATTGCCTTTGTGGGTTTACCACTTACTGTACTGGCGGGATGGAGCAATCATGTCATAGAAATAATAGAAATAGAATTTTCCCTGATTTTGTTTTACGGTAAAAAGATGCATTATTCGTTCATTAGACATGCTGGGTGCTTCAAATAATGTAATTAATCTATTTGACGGTTCAAAGGAAAAACGTCTTCTTTGATTCAAGACGATATTTTGTCTCAAACAAAAATCGAATTCCACTCCAGACTATAGCATGGTCGATCCATTGTTTTCTACAGTTTGTATCATGTATATGTATAGATCGGCTTTTTACACTGACGAATGATGCATCACTGCGCTGCTTGTGTGCTAGCTAGACTTACTCGTCTGTCCAATACTCCATTTTGTTATATATATTTGGGCTGGCCACATCCTCAGTCACTACTCCTGACTGCTGTTGCGTTAGAAAATTGCGTTTTACCTGTTAGTGTGTGACAAGGGAGAGCGCTATGCTTAGTGAAAAGATGCTCTCGCCATTGCATTCTCACAAATAAAGGTCAGTTTGATCTTTCTTCATCTACATTTATTGCAAGTTTTTTCTGAGGTAATGTGACATATATCAATGTCAAAACTATGTCCCTGTGATCTGAATTTTATATTTTTATGAAATAAGGTGCATAATTGAGTGGAAAACATTTATTTATTGTTCTTTCTTTTATTGGGATGGGAGATGAGAAACATCACTAAAATACGGATCCCCTTACATGTCTTCCGTTTAATGGTACAAGCGTCCCAATGGCTTGTAGGCAGAACTGACTCGCCATTAATTCGATCCGTGATACGTTGTTTGTTACGAACAATGTTGCAAGTAAGGTTCAAATGAAAGTGACGATTTATTGTTCACTCTTTTGGGGATTATTAAGAATTAAATTTTGTAAATTTGTCGGTAATGTGTGTAGTTGGGGGTCGCTTCTAACGTGAATGATTTGATTAGATGCTGTGATGGTATAGACACGATGCTTCATAGTACGGTCTCTGTGTTTATTTGGATAGGGAACCTTTGGAAGACCAGTCGCGGTGTGATATATTATCTTAGTGTTGAAGTATTGCAATGATGCTTCCTTCGGTGTTGACAAGATTATTATAAGAATTGCGTCTTTTGACTGACAGCAATATGTTTCTAATGCTTTATTGTATTTTATATATTCGTGTTACGATCAATAAACTGTTGATAATGACAACTTGTATGTTAGTTCCGACACACGTCCCAGGGATTCCGAGACTGAGTAGCCAGTCACAACACCACCTGGAATCATGTGATTACAATCCATTAACTGACTGAACTGAAACCTCTAAGACAAGGATCTATGCTACTGCTATCATCAACAGATATATATGCAAAGGTCGACATAAAGACGCTGAATACCGGAGTCAGAAGAACATAGTTGACTTTCCAACACACACACACACACACACACACACAAACACACACACACACTCTCTTGTCTGTGCACCCTCGCTGTTCTGTCCTCTAAGATTTTCCTTTTGTGTGCAACATGCGATGCAAACATGATATGCCGACCTATATCCAATTCACTGTACATGTAACGACAGTCAACAGCTATCTGACCTAATATGTGTGTTGATGCATGAACGAAGACCGCCTGTTAGTAGCGAAGGCTGTCGATCATACTCTGTCTGATATCAACAATGTTCATTACTATTCGTGTTTCGATTCGTAATGTAATTTGTATAATAAACACCTGTGACACCTGTCGGGTTATCCATGTGGAAATGTGCCCTAGTTGATCCCCGCCTGGAGCCTCGGTTTGTCCTGTGCTGGCGTCTGTTGTGACATACTTAGTTGACAGGTGAGACCCGAACACCTTCACGTTGTAGTGGATACCTGCATCACACCAGCCTGACTCAGCGGAAGATAATGTGTAAATAATCGAACCTGGACCAAACGATTCACTGATTGACATCATGGGAATCAATCTACACAATGGGATATCGAAACGTCATGCATCAACAAAGTTGGCGAGCCTGACCATCCCGTTCGTCGCCTTTTACACAAAGTGTTAGCCAACTCGGTCACTGAATAACTGAATAACAGGAGAGAAAAGTTTGAGGTAAACTTTTCTTTAACCGTGAAAGTTCTGAGATTACGACAGCTAATCAGTTTTACTCGAACCATCAGCCCACGTCAGAGGGATTTAGAAAGCAGAGTTGTTTCCCTTTGACCAATTTACTATGACATCTGATTTAGAAATTTGTCTCACATTCGATAAAGCATTTGTTTCACATCGCAGTCATAATTGCCACACAAGCATGGGTTGCTGAACACCAATTTAAACCCGGATATTATATTCACGGATCTATGGTGTGGTAGCAGTACCACTCTCGTGAGTGACTGCATATTGTTTTAGGACGTAATGAGCAATTGTACAATTAAACGAAACTTATCTATAAGTCGAGGGTTGATGTGGTTCTACCGAGTTATAGTCAGGAATGGAGTAGACATGTGAGCAAAGCGATATCGAGGCTTGTCTTCAGTTCTTTAAGGTAGTGAATGGACACATATCCAGGTGTTAATAAAACACGGGTGGGTACCTCTCACGGTGGGACATGTCTACTCCGTTCCTGACTATAAGTCTCGTTTAACTGTACAATTCTACCTCGTCATAGCCGTGACGTCCCTCCGTAATCACGTGAGATTTTAAAGCTATGTGTTCATAGGTCGGAACACAACAATTTATTATCAGCTTGATAGTTGTACATTTCTTCAGCCAACTAAAAAAGATTGCACTGTAATATATTACTTGCTGCATCATAAACGGTCTTGGCTCTTACAAGACTCAACTGGCCAAACATTCAATAATATGCTCTCAAACGAGAGACCCGTGAACGTCCGGGTTAAAATATTGATCTTCAGTAACCCATGCTTATCGTAAGAGGCGACTAACGGGATCGGGGTGGTCAGGCTCGCTGACTTGGTTGACACACGTCATCGGTTCCCAGTTGGGCAGATAGATGCTCATGCTGTTGATCACTGGATTGTCTGGTCTAGACTCGATTATTTACAGACCGCCGCCATATAGCTGGAATATTGCTGAGTGCGGCGTAAAACTTAACTCACTCACTCAAGGATGTAAATGTGTGTTAAGTCATAAATGAAAAAGACAAGCTATTGTCTGCCCTTGTCATTACAGAGCTATCTCCCTTTCCGGATACTCGATTCCTAGAAATAGGACTCGATTCCAGCTGTACCCGACCCGGATTCGAGTACCCGAGTACCCGACCCAGCCTTAGAATGCAGTGATTCATTTGTCGCCACTGAATAAGAAATATAAGTGATGTAATTGGCGTTTCAATACCGGCCTTCTCGAAACGTGATTTTGTAAACACTATCCAATAGGGCGCAAAGTGCACTTGGGCGTTCGTGTGAGTGTATTTATGAAAACATCTGAACACGATTCCAGGTTTATCGGCAACGTTTCAGAATTATTAATAGTGATTTTATGAAAAACTGATATCATTGTTAATTAATATGCTATTTTTGAAAGTCTATACTCCAAGTAATTATCCGATTATGTTTTGATATGTCCGTCTGGCATCCCTTCCCATAGATGGATTTTAATTACATTTTTCCTAATCATTTCAGCAATAGGCCTAATTTCTTTTTCATTCTTCGAATGTTTTAATTGAAGCAAATCATCTTTTAAAAATGCTATATAAATTGACGAAAACTTAGTTAGCATACACATTGCTCTCGCAACTGATGTGTAGGAAAAGAAACAAAACATTATTATGTATCTATTTCTGTTGTGAGTGATATGCAGGCCTACTTCGTAGTCACTTTGATTAAATGTTATATTTGAATATCGAAACCTTTTTGTCACAGCGAACACAACACTATCACTTGTCATATTACACGATAATATTTGGAATTTTTAACCTTTTTTTATAACAATATCTGAATGCTAATGTTATACACTGATAGGTTCATATAAGGAATACACTGGCACAATAGTATTTCTCTGCCGAATCGTTGCAGCTTTCTATAATACACTTATGAAATATAATACATGTTTTCCGTCCTTGGAGACATTGAAAAGAACTATCTATGCATTAAATGGAGGTTCACCTGATTAATGGGTATCGAGGAAATTGTGTTCATCTACTACAGCGTTCTATAATACACTTATGAAATATACTCTCCCAAAAAAGAAACGCATGAAGAAAATAGCAATTTCATGTAGCAATGAATTAAACCGTGATTCATTTTACAAAAGGTTTTGCTCTGTTTATGAGTCCTATGGTGTTTATGGTTTGAAACATCACAACAAAACGCACCATCCGTAAAATACCCGTATTTAACAGCATGATTTTCAATTTCGGCGTGTAGTGTCACAGAATACACAATTCACATGCAATGCACGTGAAAGTTGGGATCAGATAGTCTCAATGATGGGTATAAAAGGTTGATCGCTGTCTGTCGATTATTCACTGTATTTGGAATATTGTTGACGAACGCAAAATGCCACGTCTAAGTGAAGCCAACCGTCATATCGCCATTGGTTTGCTTGAAGCTGGCCAGTCTCAACGTGCAGTTGCCCGACGCAGGAATGTTCACCAAAGTACCATTTCACGGCTCTGGGAGAGATATCGCCGTCAGAATGCGGTAGCAGATGCCCCTCGTAGTGGGCTACCTCGAGCGACCACTGCGGCGCAGGATCGCTACATCCGGGTACATCACCTGCGTCATAGAACAGCTACGCGACCAGTACCGCTCGACAAAAAATTTGGATTCAGGAGGCTTTCTGCACAGACCGTCAGGAACAGGTTTACGTGCCAGAAGACCGTATTTGGGCCATGTGCTTCGACAACAACATCGTCGACATCGAGTTCAATGGTGCACCAACGTTCAGGCCTGGAACCTACCGAATTGGCGTAGAATCTGGTTCAGTGATGAATCACGATTTCTATTGGAACGACGCGATGGAAGAATGCGGGTGTACAGACGTCGACGTGGACGTTTCGCCGAGGCATGCGTTCCCCAGGTGGACAGATTCGGCCGGGGCAGTGTTATGATGTGGGGTGAGATCACCTGCCGTAGGAGAAGTGATTTGGTGATGATCCAGGGCAATCTGACAGCTCAACGGTAATGTGACGAATCCTACGCCCACACATCCTTCCAATCATTGATCGCCAGAGGGAGTTGTTTCAACAGGACAATGCCAGGCCCCACACAGCACGTCACACTAGAGACTTCCTCCAGAACCACAACATCAATGTGCTCCCCTAGCCCTCAAGATCACCGGACTTAAACCCGATCGAACATCTGTGGGATGCCCTTGACAGACGGGTGCGACGCCGTAACCCTCAGCCCCAGACACTTCAGCAACACGCACAGGCACTACAGGCAGAGTGGGCTGCGATTGGGCAACACGAGATTCTGAGACTGATTCGTTCGATGCCGAGGCGATGCCGTGCAGTTCTGGATGCCCACGGTGGTCACACGAGGTATTGACTTCAGCACCACCACACGTCTCCATGTGACACTCAAACTGACTTCCCTCGATTTGGTGCCAAAGACGGATAAGTCTGCATTCCCAGTGTGCAATTTCGCTATATTTCATTGACTCATAAAGCCTACAAGATGTTTCAAAATAAACATAAAAATACAGTTGAAATTCCTATATGCGTTTCTTTTTTGGGAGAGTATATAATACATGTTTTCCGATCGTGAAGTCATTAAAAAGAACTATGCATTTTCTGCAGTCACTTGTGAATTGAACTAAATGAAGGTCCATCTGATTAATGAGTATCGAGGAAATTATGTTCATCTATAAATTAGACGCAGCTTCATGTTTTTCAAGACATCTTTCCGGAATATGCGTCTGTGAAGGCGTTCAGATAATGACGATATTGCACAGTATTATTCACGAGATTCCTGTCAACAGTAAGGTCGGATAATAGATCATTTTTATTCAGCAGTGTTGGCCCTGAGGCCTATAGTACAATTACAGTTTGATCTGCTTGCACGTGGTGCTAGTAACATATTAAGTTTCTATTGGCATTGAATGCATATTTCAGATAAAAGCTAATGGTATTATAGTCACAACATCTATATTGTTTGATATTAAAAGATTTGGCAATGTGTGTTCATACATTACACTTTTTGACAGACTTGGCAAATAATTAATAAATGATATTGATAGCATCTTCACGACTT